TTTTTTTTTTTTTTTTTTTAAAAGAAAACTGAAAAAATCCTTTTTTTTGGCATTTTTACAAAAACCATCAACTTTACACTCAATTTGGGAACTATTGGAAAGCAGTAGGAGAATGAAATTTTATATTTGAAAACCCTGTGTTGCTAAGTTATTAGGTACAAAGTTTCACATTTCTCATACCTTTCCTTCCAAAGATATAAAAAGCCAAACTTTAACCTTTTTTTCAAGCTGCATTTTCGGCCACCTTTGCTCCAATCTATCTAGATGGAGATCGCTCATGAAAATGTTTTTTTATTATTTTGTTTAACAGAGCACAAGAAGTTGTACAAGATAGCCAAGTTTTGTTTCTCTCAACCAAATATTGCCAGAGATATTATGTTTCAAAGTTGCTGAAACTTCAGAGTCATACTGTAGAAGGTTGTGATATAGGGTCAAACAAATGACTATATCTCCACAAGTATTGCATCGGCAAATGTAACATTTTACCAATGTTCATTGGGGATGTGTGTGCACGTTCACACCAAATTTCATTGAAATCTGTAATGGTTGAACAGGGAGCCCCAGACCCCTTGACATGGGATACAAATAATAAATAAATAAATAAGTCAGTCGGTAGGTTTGGCTCCCTAAATAGCTGGCACCAAATGGGCATCTGGCCATTTCTTATCCTAAAGTTCATACACAAACTATACATAAACAAAGTTCCCTGAGAATCTCTGAGGGCTACAGAAAGAGCTCCTGATACAAGTCTAAATAAATAAATGATACCAAGGAAAAGATGGAATGGCAATATGACACACTCATTGAAGCAAGCTACTTCATCTGTCAGCACAACCTAAATGAGAAAAGATTTTAAAAATTTGATAGGCACCTAAATTATTCAAGCTGGGGAAATGGGTTCATTTGCTCGGGTTTTTCTTATCTCCCACTACAGTTACAAGGCCAAGAGAAGGTTGAAGGTTTCCTTGTGGAATCAAATGTTTTGTTTTAACTGGGTTTCTATCCTATACGAGCCTGTACCAAATATCTCTCTCAAATCTTATGCTCGGTCATAGAATGAGATGGAATGGAATGGAATAGAATAGAAATTCTTTATTGGCCAAGTGTGATTGGACACACACAAGGAATTTGTCTTTGGTGCATATGGTGCATAGTATACATATGCATAAACAAGATGAAAAGGCATCAAGAGATGCCAATAAAATGGGTTCCACCACAAAACTGCGTTCGACTAATCCATGCTCGACAAAACCGCGTAGCTGACGTCATCAACAGGGTGACAACAGCACAGAGACAGAAACACGCTGTAAACGCTAACCCTAAAATTAACACCTAAACCTAAACCTAATCCTAAACCTAACCCTTAACCTAACCCTAAACCTAATCCTAACCCTTAACCTAACCCTAAACTAACCCTAACCCTTAACCTAACCCTAATCCTAACCCTAAACCTAACCCTAAACCTAACCCTTACCTTAAGTTGAATCGGCTTGCTTTCAAAGCGCTATTTAAAGCACCCTTCTTTCTCCGTGCTGGCTGTTGTTGCCCTGTTGATGATGTCAGCGACGCGGTTTAATCGGGCGTGGCTTAGTCGAGCGCAGTTTTGACGGGTCACGAATAAAATGTACATGGCTACATACTGGATTACCCGAAGTATCTTTTTCCAACAGTTTCTACCTATCCAGTCTGATCCAACAGATTGGGCATGCTGCAAATGCTGTCCTCCAATGAGTGTCAACTGGCTACTAGGAACTAGAAAATGAGCCTTTTCTGCTGTAGTCCCTGCTTTGTTAAATATTCTCCCCTTAGAATTTAGAAGGATCTGAACCCTGTTGTCTTTTCACAATGCTTTAAAAAGTTGGCTATGTAGCCAGGCCTGGGGCTCAGAATGTGTTTAGGGTCCAATTATTTGGATTTCTCAGCTGTGATTTATAGTTATTTATTTTGTAGATGTCTTCGTTGTTTTAATGTTTATAATTTTAGAATTGCAAGCCACCCAGAGTCGATTGGCTGAGTTAGGAAGCTATAGAAACTGGATAAATAAATAAAAAATAAATAAATTGGGGCCCCATAACTCAGCTATTGCAAAAGCCTATATTATTCCTGAAGGAAGGAAAGCCACATTTCTGGAACAGCCATTAGGGGGTACTAGAGACAAGCAGTCAGCAAAAGTGATGCCCTGTTATACACACTCTTCACTGCTAAATACTAACAATCAAGCCAATGTTAATTACCCAATCAGATATTCATCCCAATTAAGGATAGGCAGTGTTCAAAAATGATTGGTAAGAAGTTTTTTCCAACCACCTTTAGCAGTTCTTTGCTATTCGTTAAAAGAGTCCAACTCTTTTTAGCTTTCCCATGAGGTTGAAAAATATGATCAAGGATCTTATCCATTTAGTTGAATGGGTTTCTTAAAGCAGCATTTTTTTCCCCAGGCTTACATGAAAAGCCTGGGAAATGCGGGTCTCTTTTAATGGAGGAGAGCTTTTGACGAAGCAAGATCGAAGTAAGTGTTCATACCACTGTATTTGCAACTTTCCTGATGAACAATCCTGTGTAACTGCACCCACAATCCAATAGCACCCATGAATTAAATATATAAGTAAGCACCCTTTATTAGTAAGATTACCATGGATACAACCCTGCCGTTATCCTGCCAGACTTAGCCCATATCTCCTTCTAGGTATAATCTATATTTTGCCAGTGAAGCTTGCAGCCTGGGCTCTCCTAAGGGTTAATCAAACCTTACCTTAAATTCCCAGCCCAGACACACAGGAGTAAGTTCCGGGGGTGGGATGGGGAGCAGTGGTGAAATTCAATTTTCTTTACTACCTGTTTTGTGGCATGGGTTGGTGGGCGTGGCATGAGTTGGTGGGTGTGGCAGGGGAAGGATATTGCAAAATCTCCATTCCCAGCCTACTCTTTGGGCCAGGCAGAAGTTGTATTTGCTGGTTCTCCGAACTACTCAAAATTTCTGCTACCGGTTCTCCAGAATCTGTCAGAACTTGCTGAATTTCACCCCTGGGGAGAGGGATTGTCAAAGAGTTCTGCAGAGCAGTCACAATCCGCCCTGCCTCTTTTTAATGTGTATCTTACAAGTAGTCCTCACCTTGTGATCATGGAGCTCAACACTTCTGTTCCTAAGCAAGATCCTGGTTAAGTGAATTTTACGACCTTCTTTTGCCACAGCTGTTAAGTTCATCACTGCAGTCATTAAGTTAGTAGCACAGTCGTTAAGTGAGTCTGGTTTCCTCATTGACTTTGCTTGTCAGAAAGTCACAAACGGCGATGACATAACCCTGGGACACCGCAACCACCGTCATAAATACCAACCAGTTGCTAAACATCTAAATTTTGATCCTGGGACCACAGGAATGAATGCTGCAAAGTGTGAAGTGTGTCAAGTACGTGTGTGTGTGGGGGGGGGGGGACGGTCATAAGTCCCTTGTTTCTGTGCTGTTGTAATTTCGAACAGTCACTAAATGAACTGTTATAAGTCGAGGACTACCTGCCTTAAGCGATTTCTCCCGCTCCCCTCCCCACCCTCATGAACATCCCTGCCAGGCCCCATTGGCTCTCACCTGCCGAGAAGCCACGGGAAGCCAGCTACAAGTGGGGAGGGGCAACCAAGAATTTAAATTTTTTTGGGGAAGGGGGGCGGTCGGGAAGCAAAGAAAAATTAGAGGCAGCCGCTCTGCAACCTGGCGCCCGTTTCTTCAGGGCTAACGCAAGCGGAGCGCCTTCCCAGACCGAGAAGCCCACCTAAAACCTTCCCCGTTCACTGCGCAGCCTCTTTTTATCGCAAACGGCGCCGCGTCAATAGGAGGCCGGCACGACTCCCGCCCCACTCATCTCTCTCTGTCTCTCATCTCTGTCTGTCCCCACCGGCGGCAACTATCTCCGGAGCCTCAGCGGAGCCAGCATCAGCTCACCGCCCGACGCAAGCTGACAGCCAGCAGCAGCGGCGGCGGCGGCGGAGTCGGACTCTCCACGTGTCAGGGCGGGGCAAGGGGACGGCGAAGGCGGGGGCTGGCCGGAGCTGGGGCTGCGGAGCGCCAAGCACGGGTTCGGGCAGCTGGGAGCGGCTGCAGCATTGGCAGCGACCCGGTTTCTTTCGTCGCTCTCCTGCGCGCCAGCAGCCCGGCTGGCTGTCACCGCCGAGGTCAGGCGAGATGGGGCCCCTCAAGGAAAGCTGCAAGGTGAGACGGCGACCGGGGGTGGGGGAGTATTGCAGGGAGGGAGAAAAGCCAGGTGTAGCCAGGTCTGGTTTCCAACCCGCCCGCCTGTATACCTATATACCCACTCGAGCCCAGAGGCACACGCGTACACACGTTCTTTGGAGCGGGCAGACGCGTGGATCTTAGGCAGAAGAGATCTCGGCTTCATCTCTCACACACACACCCCGCCCAACCTCCGTCCACGCAAAAATGCCCTTCGAGAAGCGGCGTTAAATGCCGGGGAGGGGGACCACTCTCGTCACCCGCGATCCCGTGTTTGTCAGCCCCTCGCTCCTCGATGGAAGACTGCATGGGATGGATAGATGGATGGATGGATGGATGGATGGATGGATGGATGGATGGATGGATGGATGGATGGATGGATGATTTGGGATGGGGAGGGGAGGGGGCTGCGGATCTTCTGCCCCCTTTATGTGCGGGGTAGAAGCTGAGCCTGTTCCCTCCCCAGCTGAAGGTATGCATCCTTCACACGAACCCTCCACCCCTCAATAAGGAGGCTGACATCATTTTCTGTGCCTCTGCCTCTGCTGCGGATCTTTTTCTCGAATGGGTGGGTGGGATCAAGCTCAAAAATAAATAACGTCAGCCCAAAGCTCAGAAAGGTACTTGGGGTGGGAGGAAGGGGAGTAGAGAATGAAGCTCAACCGTATTACATCAGCTCCAAGCTGGATTGTCTCCCACCCCTTTCCCGAAGTGGCTGAATCTTTTGGGATTCCGGGAAACCAGAGTGGTAGGGAAGAGATAATTGTGTTTTGAGCCCCTCTTCCAGATGATGCCTAGCATAATAAATTCATTACTGTTCCTCTCCAGGGGATGCTGGGCCTCTGAGTCTCTTATTCGGGAACATTTTTTTTTTTTGAAAGGTGAATGTATCTTCCTTTTTGGCATCTCTGACATTGGGGTTCTTTTCTTTTTTTTAAAGAATTTTTTTATTTTTTTATTTTCTTACATTAAGTATACATTCACATAATTGTTATTCTTCTTTACATTTATCATTTTCATACATTTATTATTTCATTTAATAAGTTATAATATACAGTTTGGGTTGCTTTATTTACCATCCCTTCCTCCTTTTTGTAACACCTCCTTGTTTTCCCTTTCTTTTCTCCCTCTCTCCCTTCTCTACTTCCTTCCTTCCTCCTCTCCTTCTCCTTCCTTCTTCCCTTACCTTTCTCCTACTCCTGTTCTTCCTCTTCCCCTTCCTACCCTCTCTCCTTCTCTTTCTCTCCCTTCCATCTTTCTCTCCTTACCTCTTTCTTCTCCCCCCATCTTCCTTTCATTCTCTCCTCCTCCTTCCTTTCTTTTTCTATTATTGTTGGTGTATATTTCAAAACTCAGTTTATATTTCCTTGGGATGGTATTTCCACCAACCCAAATATAATTTAGTATCATTTCTTGTTCCCTTACTTTCGCTAGTCTACCCTAGTTATGTTTCCCCCCCTTTATATCGCACTTTTGGATATATACTTATATATTTAATATTTTCTTTTCTGTTTTCCCCCTTCTTCCCCCCCCCCTTTCCATTTTATAGAGTGTCATCTGGGTGTTTTATCTTCTCCCTACTTTCTTGCTTTCTCTAGCCAATCGGGGGTTCATTTCTGAATAGATTCCCTTC